GAGAGAGACTAGGAGCGGGAACGCGGCGGGTACTGGGTCTGGCGTACTCTTCGTAGATGGAATTTATTTATCGTTTGAGTCTCGTTCGGCTGTATCCAGGGTTGGGTTTTCCGTTTGTGAATCATCAAGTTGGGTTTCGTTGTCAAGCATTCGATGTCGAGTAGCTCACTCGTCAGGGTCGTTTGGCTCATCCTCCGTCATCTTGTCTGTCTTTTCATCTTCTTCTCTCTCAGAAGCTTTCAGCTTCGATCGTTTGATTCTTGGTGCTGGATCGTCAAACTCCGGCCAACCTAGGGTTCCAGTTTCCTTGTCAATTGAAGCAACTGGTCTTTATCCTTTATGTCTTGTTTTGAGGGTTGGCGGTTCATCTGCAGAATCGTCATCGTGGCTATCGGCCTCGTCCGTCACATGCCGATCAAGCTGGCACTCGTCTCGTTCTCTTGGGGTTGTTCTTACTGCTAGCTCGCTTGTCAGTTCAACCACCAAAGGCGTGACATTCGACGCTCTCTTCATCTCGGATTCACAGGCCAGGAATTCTCCTACGACAGGCAACATCATGTTCTCGGTGACTGGAAATGGATTTGGAAGCGCTTCTCAAACTCAGCGTGGAAGGATGTTTTCGACTGCAGCTGAAGGCAGTCGTTGGACTTCCGCAACTTCTATGCTTTGCATCATCCCTTCGTCTGTAACACGATCGGCGATACTTCAACTTACAACATCAATCGTTCCAGGAACTTTGACTCAGATCTATTCCTTTGATCGCTCTGCTCTCTCTGCATCTGTAAGGTCCAACACACCTCGTACAGGCTCCATCAGTCTGTCAATTGCAGGATCACATTTTGCAATATTCGATTCTACTGTCACATTGCGCCTTCTCCACAGCACTTCTGAAGCGACTGCTTGGAATTCTGACAGCGCAATTCAAGCAAAGTCAAGTACATATTGCAAGTCTAGTGCAAAAGTGATGCTCTCCGTCGATTTACAAACCTCAACGACAACCAGGCTTGTCTCAATGGAAGCACCAAGCATATCTGTGCCATCCAATGCAAACTCGCCTTCCACAGGATCAACACTCTTCACAGTCATGGGTTCGTACTTCAGTCGTCAAATATCTCAAAGAGCTCGCATTCATTCGACTGCCATGTTGAGCACCGTGTGGGATTCGGACACAAGCCTCATTGTGAGATGTTCTCTCAGTTCGACCTCCTCGCGCATCCTCGTCATCACTTCTTCCGAGCTTGCTGGTAGCAGCACGTCAATATTCTCAACTGATGTTGCCCAAACTAGTGATGTGAGCCGTCGAAATTATCAACCAGCCTTGTCTACTCGGGTTCAGCTCTACGGTTCGAAGTTTGGAATCCTAGCGACTACTGGCAAGGTGTTGTGCGGTGATTCCAGTGCAGAAAGCACGGACTGGGCGTCCGAAACTTCATTCTTCTGCAAAGTACAAGTCGGTTATCAGACTTCTCGTAAAGTGCAAATCACGCTCCATGTACAAGTTGGCAGTCAATCACCAACTTCTTGAGTTATGATTCACCTGTGTTGATCACCTACATACGACCTCCGTTAGACAAGAGTGTGAGAATGGATGGGCTGGTCACAGTGACAGGAAGGTCTTACGTTACGGTTGACTCGAGCTTAGCTACTCGACTGGGATACACCAATTGTGAGTTGAGTGACTGGACTTCGGACACCTCGTTGTTTTGTCGCGTTGCATCTAGCATTGCTTCTCACAACGAAATCATCGTGACAGCAGGTGAAAAAGTTGGAACGACCTCCAAGTTTTACTTCTACGACATTCCTACCCTGAGCTCCGTGCAAACTCCGAATGTGGTGTTTTCCGAAACAACGTTAATTACAGTGTATGGAAAGAATTATGGAGAAGGTAACTGACGGCATGAACATGTAGAGACGGTTCTGATCTTTCAATTCAGCTGCATTCACGGACATGATAAGAATTGGCGGAACGGCCTGCGAAAACAGTAGTTGGCTGTCGGATTCAGCCGTCATTTGGTGAGATGGCTTTTGGATGGAGATGTGTTATCGCTAACTGCTTTTCAGCAAACCAGGGAGTGCGCACTTCCTTCCGAAGACCGGCCTTCCTGTCATCGTCTCACTCGGAGAGAGCAGGCTCCGGCAGATCCAAACAGTTTTCACTCTCACTCAGGTAGACGCTTGTGCGTGCGTTCTAGAGTCTTCTTGTAACCCTGTTTGGACAGGCGTTTTCTTATGATCGATATGAGCTCCACAGCGCTGGATCGCTGAATTGTGAAAGCACAGTGTAGTAGAGCAGTCCTCGGTTACTTGTAATTGAGAAACGTTTGACTTGAAACTTGAAACAAAATTATAATGCAATCTTGTGCTAGCGGCAAACGCTGACATAGAACTGGTCACAGTAGTAAGAGAGCACGGAGCAGACAAGGAGGAGGAGATTTTACTCGCATACCTTAGTAAAGAAAGTGAATGAAGCAGCTAGGATCACCCAAGACAGCGGTCTACTACTAAATAACAACTGAGACTCGAAAGTGCGGGCCACACCGTGCCTGGCAGTGTGCGGAAATATGTGGACAGGTCCGCCTCAGAAAGATATTGATGGCAGAAAGCGATGAGTGCTTTTTTTTACCCTTCAGCCAGGGCAGCTCGGGCAGATAGATCTGTACCTGGTCAGTGAAGGGGTATGGCGCACCATGCGCAGGAAGTCGAGATGGAGGGCGGGGGCAGGAGGCAAGAAGGTACGTGGAGGTGACGAGGCTGAGCGTAAGGGGTAGAGCATCGCATGTGGGTAGACGGGTGACGTGTGTCTTGAACTACGAGGAGAGAGGGTTGGATGGTTGGATGGTGGAAGAGCATTGAAACGCTCATGAACGCGCATGAACGAGCCTCTTGTTGTTCATACCTCTCTCCCTCTGTGGATTATGGATTGCGAATCATCATTGCAATTCTTTCCTTGTTCTCACCACCTGACGGGAAACGCAGATGAAGACTTGAGCGAAGTGTCGCAAGTGTGCACCATGAGCGAATTGACCGGCGACCTGTGAAGTGGCGGCGGGCGGGGGGGGTGGGGTCTAAGGCGAACCTCAGGCCATGGCCATGCAGTGTGAAACTTCTGCCAGAGCACGACAGGCTTGAGGTACGAGAGAGCGGGAGAGCTGCCGGTGATAAGCTTTGATGCCCAGAACCAACTCCATGATGCGGATGCTGCTTGCGAGGTACGTGAGGGAGGAGGAGGGGGAAGGATGAGGTTTAGGGGAGGAAGAGTGAGGTTTACGGAGGGAAGGACATGGAAGAAGTAGGGAGGCAGGAGGGAGGGGGGGGGGGAGTGAAAGAGTTGCAACAGGGGTGGGGAGGGGC